CGGAAAGATAACAGTAAGTGGCAAATGTTTCATCTTCTGAAGCACGTAAGAGATTTAAAACATCTTTTGATGCTATCTTTAAACAAGAAGCAAAGTTTTGTCTATCTTTCGGAAATAGATCTGATGACACCGAATTATGATCCAGTTTAGAACGATTTTCAACTAGATCTTGAAGATGCTGTAATGTGATGTGTTGTGTACCCATCATCAATTGTGCCTTTTTCGATAATAATCTATTTCTTAATTTTGTGGCCAAATGTATGGGATCTTGAAAAAAGAGAAACAGTTGTATCGGACGAAGATAAAACCACGACCACGACGATGGAACGTTTAATTTAAAAACACCGGCTTTGTTTACCAAATTAATATTGGGTAATTGTGCAAAATAACCACTTGCCAGACGCACAGCTCTTAAATATTTCGGATCACAATCCGTTGAATAACCAATAATTCTAATATTGCTATTACAGCATTGATCATATATATATATCCAACGACGAATAATTGAAATTGAAGTTATTTTATTATTAGTTCCAAAAGCAGAGAGTAAAAATGACGACGATTTGGTTCCTAATGTTGCTAATGGTTCAATCATATGAACGTTAACTAATGTTGATTTAGCGATTGTTGAAAACCATTCTTTTAATTGAAAAAAATTATCGGTTTGATATTGACGAGGTGCTGGTATACCGTTATGAAGTATTGGACAAAAACCGGTAAAAGAATTGGTATTAACATCGTAATTAATTTTACTAACAACACCAGTGCAGTCCTCAGATGAATATGCAAATTTACAATTAATTGATTGTAAATATCTATTCAATGCATCAAAACGAAAATCACATTCTTCTATTTTTGAATAAAATTCATTATCATAAGATTCAAGTGCCGATATAGATGGAAAAGCACCAGGCAAATTTATTCTCAAAAATTCATAGGCATTACGACCACCTAATGTGAAAACACACGAAGCAAAACGTCGAACATGCAGATCGTATTGATAATTGTTTTTCGAACGACGCGTGTTCTTATTGATATTATCAATAAATGTGCTTAAAAACGAGTGTGCTGCATCATTCCTTGGTATTGAAGTTACTGTTGATATTAGTAACTCACCCGTTAATTGTTGTTGATGTTGTTCCTGTATTTTATTTTTAAATAAACTTATACAATAATCAAGATTTTGTTTGATCCCCGGTCGAATAATATATTCACCAGTTTTCAATTTCAAACATGCACGCGTTTTTAAATTGTTTAGTTCATCGCAATCCAATTGAAATATTAAGAATAAATCTTTTGCTCGTAAGAGTGAATGAATATTGTTTATCCCTTGTACTTTTAATATATCTGCTTCAATGTCACCCGCTAGTTGTTGTGTTAACTGGAAAAACGTTTCGTTGGTAATTGAAAGAAGATCGCACGGTATATCGTCAAAAAGATCAACGTCCATTTCAAGCTTAGTCTGGGAGATATATAAAACAAACGACTATCAAAAAAATCAGGCGCATCAATAAATAAGAAAATGGATAAGCCTAAACGGGCTTGGTCTATATCAGAAGCAATAAAATATCGGATCATGCTCACATTGGTTAAAAAGACTCAGTTTTTGCTAGAAAATAATTCTCGAGTACCTTTATGTCACACGAATTTATTTGTCACCGAAGGATTTATTTATTACTTGTACAACACTTATCACGATTATTCTTTTTGCTCAAATTTTCTGTAAACAAGTAAAAAACAAACAGACATTTTCGAGGAGAGAGAGAATCGAGGACACCAGAAAACGTCCTCTTTCTCCTCTAAAAATGTTAGTACCAAAATTAACAATATATCAATTAGAATTAATATGTTTCAAATGAACCTTTGCAAGAAAAAAACACTGTTTTTGAAACGAAAAATCAAAACAATCTCAATATTAACTGACTGTCTTGAGTTTCAGTAAAAATCTTCACTACTGGGTCCTTTTTATGTTTTTTCTTTATTTTCGTTGTCTCTTTGATCTTTTTACAGCTGAAGATGGTGGTGAAGGTGTTGACGAACAAGTATGCTCGCGTTTTCGTTTGACTCTTGACGTTGTTTTGGTATTATCACTATTAGGCGAAGCTGTTGTTATCGATGGTGGTGATAATGATAGCGTTATATTATTAGATGTATTATCAACAACTTTTTTTTCGTCTCTCATTATCCGTTTGACCATTGAACAATTTGTATCTCCAAGATGTTTATAATAATTAGATAAAATAAACGTGGTTTTATCATCACGTAAAGGCAAATTTAATGTACCGCCACACTGACATTTAATTCTGGCTTCAAATGCATTATCCGACAGAGTAACTGTTAAGCGATAGTGCTCGCCCTCTTTAAGTACCATCGAATCAAAAATTTTTCTTGAATGTTTTTCAATATATTCCTTAATAAATGTTATATGATCATTCACTGTTAGACATTTTGATGTCACCATTGTTATCGAAGGTGTTGTCGTCAATGATGTTATTTGACTAATATTATTGTTTCCATTTATCGTTGACGGTGGCAACAGCTCTCGTTGGACTTGTAATCGTTTTTTATATTTATCATTTTTTGTTTTTAACGCACCAGCAAGATCTTCTAAATTCCCTTTTACACCTTGTTTAATAACAAATTCACCATTATTTAGCTTAAAACATGCATTTTGTTTTATTTCGTCGACTTCATTACAATCAAGATCTAATATTGATAATACATTTGGTGTATGTAGCAAACAACGAACATTGTGTATACCTTGTACTTTTAGTATGTCAGCTTCGACATCACCACAAACTTGTCTAACAAAATTGAAAAATTCGTCGTTATTTAATAATAAAACATCATCTTGCAGATTGTATAAATCAAGCACTGTTTTCATTGTGTGATCTGTTGCAACTCGATATTCAAAAGTTTAAAAATGACAAGGGCGAATTTGTCTGTATAGAAAGATCTGTTTTTCTTTCCTTTCTTACACAGTCTTGTCGTACTACACTGGACAGAAAAGAAACAAACACAGAACAGGTCTTTTTATCTAAAGCATCTGAAAATTTCACGTGATGTAGTACAAAAATTGAAAACATAAAACGTTTCATAGAATTAAAAAGCCTTAAACACAATATCGTAATAGGAGACAGAAAACGAACTAGGATAACCTTCAATACTTTTGCGTGCTTGCAGCGCACTTTACAACAACAATACGCAGCTTAGTTAAAGATGTAACTTATTCGCATGAATTCTATAGTATTCAGGAGTATTCTCATGGAATTTTAGATATTCCCTGGTATTCGCAAATATTCTCAGTACTCAGAATACCCCCGAATCCGCTTTTTCCCCCTTGTCAAAAGTACAATCAATACTCAGTTTTTTGCCGCAAACCGCAGCTTTACGATCCAAGTAGTTACTGAGATATTCAATTTTTAAAAAACATTGCCATTTTTTTGGTGGTGAATTAGGATCAATTAGCGTTTAATGTCGAGTGTCCTATTTTCTAACGGTTTGAGTTAGAGACAAGTTCAGCGCAAATATAACTTGGATTAGGCTGGAAAACAGTGTAAGTCCTGACTCTAGAGGTCGTTTTATTATCAACGTATAGATAGCGCTACCGTTACTACTTCACCATTCATTATCTCATGCGTAACCCGCTCAGTGGGGCTCAGAGTTTTAGCGTAGATACCAGAAGGGTGGGGCGACAAAACGTTAAAAGAAAACCTTTGGACTTCCAAGAGGAACGCTAGATATTGAAGTTTTAGTTAAATTTCCCATTTTTTGCGTTTTTTCACTTACAATTTCTGTGACGATTTTTCAACAAAAATACAGTGAAAATTTGTTTTTATAGGTTATTTTCTATCTTGAATTCAATGATGATGCTACTGATGTGATCTGTATCATCTACTATTCGATGTTGATATGAAATACTTATACTTTTGTGGGTTTTTGTTGTTCTATCCATTTCAAATCAAAAGACCGATGCTATTTTTCGAATAACTCGAAAATGAAATGAGATGAAGTTATACGGTTTTCACCATTCGAAAGCCAACATCTGACAGTAACTTGACATAAGCAGAAACATTTTGAAAAACCATTTCAAAATCGGTTTCTTAATAGATCTTTGGAAAACCATTTCATAATGCGAAAATTTAACATAGCAATATATTAGCTTCTTTATACACATAGATAGCCCAGAGTATCTTCTCCAAAGTGGAAGCTGAGCGACCTCTTAATTTTCCGTGGTTTAGGCGCGGCATCGGACTTCCTCGAAGCACCAGAATCGATATTTTCTTGGGTGTGGTAATCACAAAAATAAATGGAAACTTAGGTTGTCGACCAGGCTGAGTCTCGTGGCAACGTTTGGTTTTCGGAAAAAGTTCAAAAGCCTACTGAAAATCTGCATTAGGCGAAATATCCCTTTTTGCCTATTTTCGTGTAAAATTAGAAAATTTATAAGTCAGTCAAAATCCATGCAAACTACGTTAGAATATCAAGATGTACTCTGTTTTATCTGCACTATATCATCGACTTCAATAGAACTTCTAAAAATCAAATGAGTATACTTTGGTTTTTGAAAACGAGAAACCTTCAGAAGTAAGAGAAGACATTTTACTAATCTTAAGCAGGGAATCCAATTGGACAGATAAAATAGAGTACATCTTGATATTCTAACGTAGTTTGCATGGATTTTGACTGAGTTATAAATTTGATTGAGATGACTATTATATCTTATTGATCTGACAAATGCTCCTTAAACTGCTGTGATAAAAGCATCTCAATGGCGAAACCAAAACTGAGCTAGTTCTGAACTATCCATATATTCGTTGATTCTTAGCGGAGCCAGTTTCTTCAAAAATTTGAGCGAGCGATAGTATAATATCGATATATCATTGATCGATCATTCCACATAACTCTGCTACCGGAAAGCTGAGTGCGCTGCCGTTTTTAGGGAGCTTCAAAACGCCGAAAAGATACGATCAAGTATAAGTTTTATCTAGTGTTGACAAAATTATTTTTATCAAAATATTGAGTTGAGACAATATAAAAAATCACAGATTTAACAACTAGGATGAAGACAATCTTCTCAAATAAGATAGGTAAAGTCAGAAAATCACCATGCAATACATCCGTCAAATCAGACGCAAATGATATCATTGCCGATTAAAATGTGGCACTGGCTTAGAAAGTGTTCTTGTGTTTGAATTTCAATACATTGAGATAATTCAGTGTTTGAACAGTTTACTATACTACTATTATCTATGTATGTGCTTATTATAGGATTCTATGTCTACTGCACACTTTTGCAAGATTCATATAGTTGCGTTCTACTTTTGAGTTAGGCTGGTTGAACCGGTGTATCAAAATCTGGAATATCGTTACGGAATTGTTCGATGGTTCTGCCTAAAACTTCAACTAATGCCAATGCGTCGTAATAATAACGTTGTGCTTCAGCAATATTTTTGTTTTTTGAATTATAATCTTTGAGTGTTTTACAATAATCAATACCAATATGGATTAATTTATACTCTAATTTGTTTATTTTGAATACATCTCGGAGTTTCTGCTGATAACCGTATTGATCACACCACGTAATTGTTTCATCAACAGTATTATCATCTACACAAAATACATGCGGATCGGCGATTTCACGATTAGCCGTTTTCAAATAATGGCCCATTTACTGAATGTTATTGTTCGACGTAAATAACGATATACATCTATTCTGATTAATATCATTGTTCACGAATTGGTCAAATCCAATTAGACTCTCAAAAAATTGAACGAAGCTGAATAATTCTGTATTTCTTAGTGGAGGATGAATTTACCGGTTTGCATTCAGTCCATTGACTGCTACGGTTACAATATGGCAGTCATTGCAAGGTGGACGTATGCGCAGATCAGATAAAGACCGCATACCAAACATCAGGATTTGACCTAATTAACTAATCAGAAAATGAAATAACCAACCTATATTTAAAGATAGGTCAGTTAATAAACGGGAACGAACTTGCAATGTATGGGTGGTGGGAGGCGTTGGACCATAGCTCAATACGATTTGTTTTAAGGTTTTTTGTCTCATTTTTAAAATTCCACTAAAAGATTCAGTTTTCGATATGAAGAGCTGAATCTAGTGTAGTCCGATAAACATTAAATTGTACACAGAATGTGCACAATAAATTCAAAGCAAACAGCTCAAAAACCTTTCTAAGCACGATCAGAAGACCGAATCTGAAAAGTACATACATGACCTTGCTAGAAAATTTTTCTTAAATATCTAGTACAAATAAATGTTGAATGGAAATATAAAAATATGTAGGTTTTATAGAAAATAGCTCAGAATCCCCTGAAAATCCTTTAAAATAAGTTTTACAGGTATGGGAATACTCAATAGTACTTGATTGACATTAGTCCTCTAAAATACTTCAATAAATATTGTAGAAAACAGTCTCTAAAATATAAAGTCCGTAAAGGTTTTCTAGAATACCTCTGGAAAACCCTAAAATTATGCGGCATGTATTGGTGACCTTATACGTTTGTAAGCCGTGATTTTTAGATACGAGTGCAGAAAAAGCCAAAGTTTTGTCGTAGAGCGCTTGGTCTCTGTGAAAGGTTTTCCAGAAACCTCGGGTTTTCCGTAAAAATTCGTTTGCAGAAGCGGCCTGAGATAACACAAAATTTTTCCACAATAATTTCTAGGTAAAAAAAAGTACGCTCTACAAGATCTACATGGTTGTTTGACTTCGATGTCTAAGACTGTTCTGAGAAAAAAGTGCCCCGTAAAACCTCATCGCTGAAAAATCGATTTTCTGGAATCTCATTATGAAGTATGGGGACCGAGAAAACTGATAATGCCATTAGATTCAGCATGCTCGGAAACCTCTAAGACCCAGCTCTCGCCAACTTAGCTTCAATATTAGAGAAGATAGTGAAAGTAAAAAATCCTCTCATTCTCATCGTAATGTAACTATAGTGAAAAATGAACATATATATATACTGTGTGTGGTTTTCGTCTAAATGTAGCTAACGATGATTACAGTTGTAATCGAAAGCTTCTGTTTTAAACAAAAGTTCTAAGACAATGATTGTTGAACTCATACAATTAATCTTTTCATTAAATAAGAATAGTAGCGCGCGAGAGAAACTTCTATTTAATAGCTTTTTTCTCTGATCATATGGAGAGATATGGTAATACTTGTTAAAACTTGTGTCTAACAACATCAGATCAATAATGCACTGCCAGCTACTAGTCCATTCAGTGGGTGAACACACATTCCAGTAGCTCTAAATACCAAATTTATATTGCAATTTCATCAATCGCAATTTCACCCCAAAAGTTTATAGCTACTGGCACCCACAAAATCCTCGTATATAAACTTTATACTTCAAACTTTGTACTTAGTAGAATAACAAACAGAAACTGTTATTAGCAGAGATAGAGAGTGATACGAGAACAAGTGCCTTGATTCAAGACTCCTTGAACCCAATCTATAACTGCAATTTATACAGTTGAACGTTTTTTGTACAAAATATGTTTGAACTACTTTTTGTATTATATATATATATATATATATATGAGTGAATTGCAACTTTTTGGTACAATTGACCCGAAAAAAAGAAAGTGAACCTAAACAACTTTTGAGTACTGCATTTTAGTATGCTCTATGCCTGTAGTACACAGCAAAATTTTCCCGACACTTCATCAATTATTAAGGGAGATATACGTTGTAGAAATGTACAATTTTTTATCGGCCGCAGAAGTCAAGACACTCTGATATTTTTTGAATAACTTTCGATAGGAACATGATAGAGACCTGCGGTTTTCAGCGTTTGATAGCCAAGATCTAGGACCATATTTTCATAAGCAAAATTTTTCCAAAAAAATCCGAAAAATCGGTTTTCCAAATGGTTTCTGGAAAATCACGCTAGATTTTTGGAGATCGTTTGTAAAACCAACTTTTCGGATTTGTTTTGAGAAAATTTTGCTTATGAAAATATGCTCCTGGGTCTTGGCTATCAAACACTGAAAACCGCAGATCTCTATCATGTTCCTGTCGAAAGTTATTCAAAAAATACTAGACTGCCTTGACTTCTGGAGCCGGCAACGGTGTTATTTGCTACTAATTAGGGCTTTAAGTAGATTTGCATGCATTTTAGTAGGAATAGGTTTCGAAAGCAACCTATAAACTATATTTTGAACGTTGATTTAAATTCGGGACACATTTTTATCTTTTACTATGCCTTCATACTAAATCGTTAGATGGCTTTACCCTTCGAAAAGAATTAGATCGTTTTTTTCCAACTCTGTACATAGCATATGAAGTCGAGAAAAGACCACAATATACTCGGATTTATTTGTCGCATCTTGTTCATTTATATTATACTCGAAAAGAATATTTTTGAATGAATTCGACTAGAATATCTGCAGAAAATCGTCACTCTACATTTTTCAGTATATTGTAAATTTCTTCCGAAGGGTACAAGATCAAAGGCTCAAATTTTTACCACTAATAGAACTTTGTGTTTTATACTGGCTGTTAAAATTTGAGCTAAATCCGACAACTTGTTGAAGAGTTATAAACCAGACAATTTTCGAATCGTCACTCTACAAAGTGAGTAAAATTTCCTTTTTTCAGAAAGTTCTGTTGTTTTTTCGGAAATAAACCTGATAAGAGAGAACCTTTTCCCATCAGTTTCTTAGTTAAAGAGTTCTCTTTCTTTTCATCCAGTCTGTACACTACCAGCTCTATCACAGTCTGAGCTAGAATCATGTTTTCGTCTCTCTACACAAAAATGTACAAGTGTCTGTCAAACAATATGAATGATGAACGGGGGAACTAATGAGAATTATAACTAAAATCAGTTATATATTTCGATAGAGCATCGAAAGCTGTACAAAATAGATCGATTATCTATTATCCCTCTTGCCATTTTATAGTCGAAAAATTGCCTTTTCTTAGCACACATCATGAAAAAATGATGTTTTTTCGTAATCAATTTCTTATAACTCAGGGACAGTATGAGCTAATGAACTGAAGTTTTGTATCGCAGTGGGGTGCTCAGAGGCGTATAACATATAAAAAAGTCGTTTAAATTGCTCGAGGCAAACAGAAGTTATTAGCTAAATACAGCTATAACTTCAATTGTACCAAAAAGTTGCAATTCACTCATATATGTTTGTTTATTCAGTAGAACTGTTTTCGTGAAATAAATGAAATTCTTTTTTTCAAATGTTTTATGAAAGTTATGACGTTTTGTGATTTACTTTACTTTGATTTTTATTCACTTGACTGAAAGTCTTGGGTCATACAAACGAAATGTCCGTCCGTCCGACTGTCCGCAGTAGCCGAGCGACATCGTCGTACGCGTCCTCCCGAGCGTTAGCGACAAAAAACAAAAAAAAACACGTAATTACTACTTTTCTCAACAGCAGGACATCCTAGATCTGCGAGCCCTGAATAAAAAGTGTCAGAGATTTAATTTCACATATTTTATCTGCTGGCATCAGTTTGCTTAATTAGCGAGAAAAACGCTAATTTTTGATAATTAACACTTTTCACCGTGAAGCTAGCATCTGACAAATCTGGCTCTCGAACCGAAAATGTCCGAAACTAAATTTTACATATTTTATCTGCTGGCACCAACGTCGTGGCGACCTGTAATCGCGGACTGTTGGAGATGCGTTATGTTGGCGTTGGTTTAGTGGCTTTTTGTGCATTTTCCATGTTTTACCCATGGGGACTTCTGTTTTTTTTCGTAATTTGGTCCAATCAGGTTTGGAGTTTTTTTCGAAGTTGGTGATTGTGTGTGTGTTTTGCGAAATGGGGTTGGGTGTGTTGCTGTGTATCGGATTGCGTTGGCAATGTGTATCGTTGGTGGTAGTGTTGTGGTGCATGCGGCTGGCTTAATGCGACACCTAGCGGTGTGCGTTTGTGTCGTGTTTCGTTGTTGTGTGTTCCGTACCGGCGAGTTTTGTAGTTTTGTGTGATTGTTCTTTTGAGAGTGTGGGTAGTTGTATACTGTAGCTGGGGTGCGGATTCATGTAGGGTGTGCGGAGGTTTTGGTGATGTTGTGTCAGGCATGCTTTGCTTGCTTTGTTTGTGGTATCAGGTTTGTTTTTGTGCGGACTGTATCGTTTGTTTTCGAGTTAGCGGTTTGTTGATTGTTTGGAAGTTCTTTTCCGACTAAGTCTTTCTACAGTTCGGAACGAAGGAAGAACTGCCGAAAGGGTTGGCGATGACTTGTTCGTTGATGTTGATTAGAATGTTTAGTGTTGACGCGTATCTCGCCGTCTGCTAGCTTGCGCGTTTTGGGGATATTCTGAGGGCGTGTTTGTGTCTCAGATGCCAGTCAGAGTTAGCTTTTTAAACATCCCGAGCGGGGCCAGAGAAAACTACTTGTGACCTTTCGGATGAAGTAATATGAATAGTTTCCTCATTTTGGACTATTTTCAAACGATTAAAAGGTTGTCACGGTGACTTCTAGACCCATCGAAATCAGTTTTAAGTAGATAACTGGAGTAGTTTTGTTCAACCATACCGAAGACAACAAAATTCATTTTCTGTAAGATGCGAATTTCGCGCACCGTACATGTCGGGTTCGTTAGCACCAGAATCTTTCAGTCAAGGGTTAGTGAATCGAAGATGAGCGTTACTTGTTTGTAAAATGGAACAGATACGA